CTGGAGAGATGGCTCAGTGGTTAAGAGCACCGACTGCTCTTCCAGAGGACCTGAGTTCGATTCCCAGCAACCACATGGTGGCTCACAACCATCTGTGATGAGATCTGTCGCCCTCTTCTGTATACATAATACATAAATAAATCTTTAAAAAAAAAAAAAGAATGTATCTTCTTTAGTAGTCTATATAATGACAATGAGTTATCACTTTATGTTTTTGTCAAATAACATTATATTCAATTATTTTAAAGGTATTTAAATTTTTCTTTTTGAGGCCAGGAATGGTTATTCACACCTGTAATCCAGCAGAAGTACTGTAAGCTCATGGCCAACCTGAACTACATAGTGAGCTTGGACTGTGTACTTCTAAAAAGTAGAAAGAAAATTTGGGTTTTGAACCTGTAGATCCTGAGAAGTTAGGGTTTCCTTGAGTTACTGGGTAATAGCTGACATGGAATACATGTAATAACTCACTAAAAACATTCCAGAATGGCAAGGCAATACATGAATAACTAACTCATTTGTAAAGCTAAATAACTTGGAAGTATAAAGACATTAAATACAGGTACTAAAAGGCCATTCATAGTAACAAAGATCCATGACTGGAAAAGCCTCTGCAGTTTTGCTACTCCAGGGTTTTTCTCCTTAGCTCACCTAGTCTAATAGTTTAAATGTTACTGGTGATATTTTTCTAAATATCTAATATATGGACATACCATAGCTTGAAATAGAAGGCATTTTCACGTTTTGGTAGTAAAGCACACTGCTGCTGACAATTTAACTGTTGTATGACCTTGAGCTGGTTACTACTTTTCCAAGCTTTAGTTTTTTCTTTTTTTCTCTTCTCTTTTTTCTTTCTTTCTTTCCTTTTCTTTCTTTTCTTTTCTTTTTTTTTTTAAGACAGGGTTTCTCTGTGTAGCCCTGGCTGTCCTGGAACTCACTCTGTAGATGAGGCTGGCCTCAAACTCAGAGATCCACCTGCCTCTGCCTCCTGAGCACTGGGATAAAAGGTGTATGCCACCACCGCCCTGCTCAGTTTCTTCCTTATTGAGAGGTTTAATTGAAATAATAACATAATGCCCTTGGCACAGTGCCTGGCACATAGTTAAGTGCTGAATAAATATTGACTTCTGTGGTTATTATCAGTTTGTATTATTAGATAACAAAACTGCACTGTCACTTGAAATTTGCTGGGAAAAATAGTTCATGTAACCCAAACAAAGGTAAGGTTGAAGCAAAAAGTCAATTTGTTAATTTACGGTGAGAAAAATGCCTGCCATGCTGACTGCAGTTCACACACCCGGGTCAACGTTTCCCCCAGGAGGAGCACACACTTAGGAAACTAGATGAGATCAGGTGTTGGCTTGGGAGTACGCTGAAACAAAGCAGAAAGATGACTGCCTGCTTTATGCCTGATTCCTCCTTCAACGTCAAACTTTTCTCTCTCTCTCTGCTATAATTTAATACTCCTAAAACAAGTACTGTACTCACTCTTCTAATCAAACTAACCTTCTGACCTGGCACTGACTGAATAAAGCATCAATTCTTTAGCCTGGCTTTTAAGATCCAAATTAATCTGTCCCCCAATTTCCTATTCCATTTTGTTTTCTTCTGCTGGCCAACATGAGGGTTTTACTTCAGAAAAAGCAGTTTTCCCTAAAAATGCCATGCTTATTTCTTATTCTGAGCCAAGGCATAGGCTAGGTTTCCTCATGAAATTCTCTCTCCTCTATGAGCTTTTTCATCATTTCAGAGTATACAAAAATCCCTAAATTGCTAGTTTGAATTATTGTATTCTTTTGTGGTTTGCGAGGTGAAGACAGCATCTCAAACTAGCTTAAGGTGAGCTGGAACTCAGTATGTAGCAAAGCTGGTCTCAGGCTTGTAACAATTCTCCTGGCCTCAGCCTCTCACTCTTTTTCACATATATGTAACTATTTATACATATATGTATATTAGCTTAATTACCATAAATCATATTTTTCTTAGATTATAAACTTCTAAGAATATAATTTGTATTTTCTCATAAAACTACACATTGTTACATATATTATATATTGAACCTAAATAAATAAATGATGAATTAATGACTATTCTGGGATATGCTGAACTAGCCTGGGTAAATCCAGCAAGGTTTCCTGGCCTGACATACTGTAGCCTGTTGTGTCTGAATCGTAAATGCCCCCCAAAGTTGAAGACATGGTCATCAACCTGTTGTACTATTGAGAGATGGTAGAACTTTTAGGCAATAGAATCTAATGGGATGACATCAGATTGTCAAGTGTGTCTCCTCTCACCCCCACTCCTATTCCTGGCCACCATGGTGTGCCACTTTGCTCTACTGTATTTTTGCCCAGTGGGTCCCCATGATGTTCACTTTGATACTGAGTCAAAAACAATAGAATCAACTTCTGAAACTGTGAGCCAAAATAAATGCTTCTTCCTCTTAAGTTTATTATCTCCTATGTTGTCACCACACAGGAAGTGACTAACACATTCTCCCCCAGATTCTTAGCATCAAAGCTTCTCTCAGTGCTCTCTTTAGTTCTGAAAATTACATCACAAGTTTCCTAATTGCTTCAGGAAGTAGATGTCTAACAAAGGACCATTCTCTTTAAGCAGCTCTTTGTTTCTGATTTCCTTTACTCTAGTAAACACAAAACAAGCACCCAGTAAGTAACTCAGTAATTGGTCTTAATTTTCCAAACATCCCCAGTCCATCAGGCATTAAAACATAGACATACTTTCTCAGAGTATTATGTGCCAGTTAACTGATAAAACTGCTGCTAAGGAAATTTCAAATTAAGTAACTCACTAAATGGTCATTGATTTTCTTTGAACTCTTGACAAATACCTTAGATGCCTTTAGTGTTCTGGTGTCTCGGGAGAGCTGAGCAGTGGTCATCATGAGACTGAGTCAGGGTTCTCTCAACAGTTCTAACCTGTTAAAAAATTCATTAGAGATTTGGCCTGACATAATACTTCCTTATCTTGTCTTTCCAAAGATAGAACTGAATTCTAAAGTCAAAACTTAAAGTCAAGTAAGGTTAAGTATAGACTATTTCCCACACTGTCCTGTTTCATGAGAAATTTGCCAAGGTCAATTTTGAAAACACAAAGGGAGAATGAAGCTAAAATAGTTCCACCTGGCCCTATCAAAAATTATAAAAATTAATCTGAATTATAAAAATTCTTATTTTGAATTTTCCCAATGAGAACTATATAAATTAACGGTAATTTTTGGCAAGTAATCTTAACAACCATGTAAGTTTTCACTACAAGCTTCTTCTAAATCTGGTATAAAGTCTTTGTATTAATTTTTCAACCACCCAAAAAAACTGTAAGATCTATTCATTCATAAACACATTCTCAGAAGAAAAGAAAGTTGTAAGTCCCCTAAAGACTCAACAATTTATCTCATTCCCTTAACTGTCCTTGGATATAGCTGGGCTCAAAAACATTTCTTAGATTACCTTCTGATTTGTTTACAAACTCAAAACCGATTCAAAAAAGGAAAAGGGTAAGTGTTAGCAAAGAGGCGGAGAATTAAACCCTTATGCACCTCTGGCTCAGTTGTAAAGCAGCCCAGTCACTGTGGAAAACAGTATGAAGTTTCTCAAATTCTTAAACACATCACCTAGTCTCCAGCATTACCGCTTCTAAGCATATAGTCTAAAGAAATAAACAAGGACATATAAACAAGCATATAGTCTAAAGAAATAAACAAGGACATATAAACAAGCATATAGTCTAAAG